TGTAAGTTTCCCTAATTTGACCAAGTTCTGGAGAGATGCCAAAGGGAAACTTGATGAGAGAGAAAAAATATTAATTAAAATAGGATTATTATTTTGGTGTTTAAATTTAAAGATAATTAATCAATCCTAATTTTAAGGGATTTATATATCTAATTATGTATTTAAAAATATATGGTAAATAAAATATTAAAAGTGATAATATATGTAATTGTTTAAAAGTAGAGGTAATACTAGAATGAGAGACTTAGTTTACTTTGAGCATAAGGAGAGGAGCTTTATATAGAGCAAGTCACTATAAAACCGATCCTGTTTGAACTTGTATTGTATCCTAAATTAAGAAAAATGTTTTCATATAATGCCATATATAAAACAGTAGAAAGAGGTGTCATTTTTCATTTAAGACCATTTTGGCATTAGTTTAGTCAAACTTGGACATGATTTATGTGACATTGCTTCAACCTCAACTGTTCCATTGGCATTTCTTGAAAAATTTAAGAAACTCCTTGGAAGACATTTAACTATGTGTTCCCAAATCTGTCTGATTTTCATTTCGAAAACATTTTCAGCTTTGGTAAGAGATTCTTTTTTGGAGCCATTGGCATCTAGGTATATACAAGGGCCACCATCTTTTATCAGAAACAAACTGAAGTGCTACGAACAGCCTCAGAAATCAAGGAAGCAGTAGTCTCATCACCAACGCTTATGGTGGTTTGAGTTGATGTAACCTCTATCAAGGCTTCACTGGGCTCCGAGATGAATATAAGTGATACATGTTCTGATCCACCACTACTCTGGGCAGCTACTTTCATCCCCATCTTCTTTAAAGCCATCAAAAGGGAGTCCAAGTCAACTCTACCCACAAATAGCAATGGCCTAACTTGGGAAGAAAGCACTTGCTTGTTTCTAACAACACACCGATACTTTCCCTGCTCAATGAGCAACTCTCCCTTTAATCTTGCAATATTTTTTCCCTCTATCATTTTTGTATCAATGAGCAGCTCAGAAGCCACGTCCATGGCAATGTCCATATCTGCAAATGCTTTCAACTTGGGCACAACTACAGTTTCATTCTCGGAGAAACTTTGGACCGAAAATTTGGGGTTCCAACAGCTGATATGGGGCCTCAAACTCTCAGGGACCTGAAAAGAGCAAGAGTAGTTATCAGAAACATATTGAACAGTTCAGTTTCTTAGAGCAGAAGAGAGAGCCTACCAGCACGTGTTTAGGTTGTAATATCTTTAGTAAAGGTATAGCTTTCTTTAGCCTGCAAACAGAAAATGAAGTTTGTATTTCTAATGAGTCAAAGCCAGAAAGGTAATTGAAGAGCTACAGAAATGTACCTACTTGAAATAAAATAGAAACAATTACTCGAATGGACTTGATAATTATACAACATACTCAATAAGATTTCACAATGGGGCCTGGGGAGGGCAGAGCCTATGCAAACCATATCCCTACCTCGTGGAGATAGAGAGGTTGTTTCTGGAAGACCCTCAACTCGAGTACAACAAAACAAGGTAGGTATGAAAAAGGAAAAAAACAACACTGAAGAAAACATAGCAACTAATAAGGAATCAGTACAACAAAATAGTGCGATAAGTGAAACACAATAAACAGCAGATGATGATAGAAAACAAAAGCAATACACTACAAAAATAAGGCTAATACTACGACAGACAACACTCCACTATCTACTAACCTTCTACCCTAATCCATAATCTCCACACCCTTTTAAGGTCATATACTCGATAAGCTGCAGTTGCGCCATGTCTTGTCTAATCAGCTCTGCTCAATAGTTTTTCCATCCTACCACTACTTCTCATCGTACCCTATATATCCAACCTCTCGCACCTCCTTACTGAGGTATCTACCTATCTCCTCCTCACACGCCCAAACCATCTCAACCTTGCTTCCCTCGTCTTGTCCACCACGGAGGCCACTTCCATCTTGTCCCAAATATCTTCGTTCCTAATTTCATTGTTCCTGGTATGCCCACATATCCATCTTAGCATACTCATTTCTGCAACTTGCATCTTCTGGACATAGAGTTCTTGACTAGCCAGCACTCTGCCCTTGCAATAAAATTGGTCTAACCACTACTCTGTAGAGAAAATGACTAAACCACTATGCCACCTCCCCAGACTCCTTTAAATGAAAAATAAACCAGTAAACATTTCAACTTAATTGTTTGCTGGTTAAATCAACTCACACTAAAAGGGATCGGTTCCTAAACCATCCAGGAGCGCAATCTAATGGTTCTTCATTAATTCCAAAACTCTACTATAAAGTTCCTAGAAAAGATAATCATATGGTAAGCAGTAAAGTGACTTTCGATCAAACATTCTCTACTTTTCCAACAAACATCCTTTATCTGCTTCTTTCTCTTAAGGCACCTCTTAATCCTAGTTGCAAATTTAGTGAATAAACTACCCATATAGCACCAAAACTATAAAAAGTGTGTTGTCTGCCACACATGAGATAGGGTATCATAAAGAGTAAGCTTACTTTATTCCAGAGATGAATGAACATTGAAGGACCTTCATTGACATTGGCTCAAAAGGCAACAAAGCCAACTTGATATCAGCTCTTTCCTGTGAAATATGAGACATTAAAAATATAGTCAAGCCTCACATTAGTCAAACAACCAGGTGCATAAGATCTGAAAATATGAAAAAATCATATAACAGTTAGGCACCTCAATGATAAGCAACGAGTTAGGATCTGCACACCAACGTTGAAGGAGATGGAAAACAGGGCCAAGTCTCAAACTCCAGTGAGGACAGAATACTATGCAAGGTTCCTGCCAACTTGTTCTAAACACATACATTAGACTTCATCAATGATGTTGACAGTAACAGACAACAATGAAGTCAAAAGATGTAAAAGGATAGAAAACTGTAAAAAAACAAAATACTCTCTACGGCAAGCTTCTTAAGCAGGTTACTGTGCTCATTTCTTTATCTTATATCTTGACATGAGGGGACAGAGTATATCTTACAGGAATTTCGAAGAATGTATTGCAGGAGATACGAAGAGTTTTTTCTCGTTTGACAGCTGAATATGCGTGAATAGTGGTTGCCCAGAACAAAACTGTGGATCCACAACATAAAACAAAAGGAAATACATTATCTCTACTAGTGACTTTAAAAAAATGGTAACAGTGGACCTGTGACTTCTGTTTTAACAGCAACAAGAATAAAATCACAAGATTCATAGTATTAATCAGTTAATGTAGTACTCTTTCTTGCAGTTGACTGGACAGCCATTCAGGTATGATATTGGAAAATGCCAACAACTCTTCCGCCACAGAAGAAACGAAGTATATAGGAACCTACAGAACACAAACATCCAGTTTAAATACATGAAAAACATATTTCATCTGACGCAAAGTTAGGTATCCAGAACCAACTGTACTAAAATTAGATACAAAAACGAAGCAAAACTTAAGAATTGGAGGACTCTTGTCCATGTGCATTGATCAAAGACGGATTCAAAACTAACTTTTTGCACAGCGGATGGCAATTGTCCACAAGTGCATATGATATCTGGGAGACAAAGTCTCTCGATGCTCATTCCTTCACACTATCAGGATTACAATTAACATTAACTCAGAATTTATATCTCCACTAGCAAGTCCAACAAGCTGCACTGGTAGATATGGGACAAATGCTATGGATCTCCCCTCCCTGAAAGTAAACTCATTTTTCATACCGATTAAGAAAAGATAGTCTCATGTTTCAGAAATTCCTGGAGATCGTTGAACTCAAATTCCAATAAATTATTAAGATGAAAAGAAAAAAAATTGTTGAAGTATTTGGCTAACAACATAAATACTTATATAGGATATTTTAGTTACATGAAAAAAAGGCAAGTTTCCCAATTCTTCAGATTCTTGATAGGAAATAGTAATAGTTAAGATAGTGTACACTTGACTGACATAATTGTTACAAATATTTTACACTCCCTCAGTCCCATTTATCGTTGCACCCTTTAACTTGGGATGGTGTTTAAGAAGAAAAAAAAGACTTTTGAAATTTGTGGTCTAAAACAAACTTTACATAATTGTAAGCAAAAAATAGGAAGCATCAATCAGGAAAGATATTCCTAAAAAATACCCTGCTATTTTATTATAAACACAGTTGCTTCCTTTCAAGCAGTAAGTTGCACTTCTGAATTCTAGATATAATTCTTTTCGAACTAGTAAAAATGGCAGCAAACAATCTATATTTCCTTTTCTTCCCAAATCAGAATAATATATCTAATCCTTATCATGTATAACTTGAATACTATTCCACTTTAAGCTTCTCAAGGTGAAAATTCTCAGCACTATCTGCATTTTCCACCCCGATACTGCAAGAAAAGGGGTCTAACTTCTAAGGAACACAATATTGGTACTTTTTTGGCTAAAAATACCGATCTTCTAGCGTAATCCATGTGACAATCACCTAATCACTTGTTGAAGAATTGAAATAACTGCACGAACATGCAATCTTACAACATACCTTTAAATTTGAAGATTCTAGTGAAAGTGATATGTTCTCCAACAGCTGCAACATGACTCCGGGCCGTCCAATGGGAATAAGGACTGATCCTCCATCACTAATAGTGTCCAACACACATGAACATATAAAAGATACTTTTTCCATCTCTTCAGAGTACTCATCTGAATCCAGCCACGATTCAGGTATTGTTTCCCAACAACTACCAATATTACTGCACGTGTGCCAAGTTTCGAAGATCATTACTTCCCTTCCAGAAAATATGTAATGATATGGAGGAAGATGAATAAAGATGAACCAATCGATGGATGGAGAACAGGAGAAGATAATCTTTGAAAGGAAGAAGAGAAAAAACCTAGCCTATAAATCTTATCTCACATATGCATGCCGGACAGCTTCAATAGTATATATAATATTCCATATAATACAAAAGGAATGTACCTTGAATAGGAACTGCCAGTAGCAGGAGGGAAATCGTTCTTTTCACCATCAACATCATTGCAGGCTGCGAAGTCTGAATATAATAGAACATCACTGTCTTCAAGAGCTTTGTAATCGAAACTGGTTGCAGTTGCTGATGCAAAAACAGAGCCAGAAAGATAAATAATGTTTCCTTTTGGACTTAGAATATTCCAATTACAAGCACCTATCTCTAAACCAGAACTCAGTGCTTTTATGGTCAATGAGCCATTATAGCAGGCTTCTTCAGCATACTTGAGGAATTGAACCTTCTCCATGCAACCCTTCATATCAGCTGCACTGAAATTTTTCTTATCACTTGCGAATCAACAAGCAATAAACCATAACAAACACATAGAGCTTAAGAGTCTCTGTTTACTTTTTCATTTTTGACAACTGGCTATGAGCACCGAGTCCTTTTCTTTCAGACTGGGATGAACATTCAGATTCGTAACAGAACTTGTAAAACTGTCCATTTCCAAATCAGTAAGTTTTTAACTGAAAATATGCATCTACATGTAATTATATATGGTACTGAAACAGAACCGACTGCTACATACTTTCCACTCTTATCCCAAGCTGAAAATCAATACTATTTTCATGTCGCAGTGTAATGCCCACTCTATTGAGCAGACAACTCATTTGCAAAAGCATATCCTCAAGTTCATAGAAATAATTGAAGACTATGACTTTAAACAAATATATCAAATTTAGGATGAAAAAGGTGTGCGCTTGTATTGGTGGAAAAAATTATGAGATCCCTGAATCATGTGTTCCTCATTTTTTTAGGTACGTTTACTTCTCTGTGTTTGTATGACCTAAAACATTTACATCCAAGTCCATCCTACAAAAAAAAAACACAGCTAGTATTTTAAAACATAGGTGCAAGTAGCAAACTAGTTCTGGTAAGTTGGAACACACTAGTTGATAAATCACAAGAAATGTGACAAAATAGATCTTTCAATTAAATGAAATAAGAAGTGTTACCTGTATATGGACATCCATCCACCGAGCTCTGTCCTGTCACTGCCTAAAACAATATCCTTTAGTGCCCTAGGAAGTAGTTCAAGTTTTTCCCATGTCATCCATTGAGGGCAACCAGACTCTTCAGGTCCATAGAATTGTCTCAACTCCATATGCATGGAAATCAGGTCCTCCATCATCAGTTTTCCTAGTCTGGAAGCTGCTTCCGTTGCATATATCTGATGAGATAACCACATTAAAAGAAAAACATTTACCGGCATAAGGTTCATTGTATTTATAAATGCAAGAAAATATCCTTTCTATCACCTTTGCTCTGAAGTCTTTGAGGCGGGTAAGAAAAGGTAACCCTAGCATACCCATCGGACTTGAGATTAGTACCACATCTATGGAATAAATACTCCAAAGCTGCAAACTTTTCACAGTTTTATACCAAGGCTCAGCCTGAATCAATTTTTTGGAATCAAGAAGCTCCGAAACTTCCTGTCTTACAGACTCTGAATTTGATGAACTTTGGCCGCTATGAATAGAAGCTTTCTCATCAAGCAGGGAAGAAATAACAATTGGTAGGGGAGAAAATACAGCTAGGGCTGAAAGGTCCAAAGGGCAGTCAAGTAACACCCGGAAACCACATATATTAACTATGTGGCATGGTGGGAAATAGTAGCCCCTGCCCTCACTTAAACATGTCTGCAAATGTTGGATTCCATGAACATGATGTCAGTGTGTACTACAATTATACGCAGGCAAGGCAAATATGCAGAGAAGGGAAGATACTTACAAGCTTCATGGAATTGAAGATTGCTAAAGTTTCTCAGCAAACAGGATATCTTAATGTTCCGAAGGATATCAGCCTATAAAAGAAAAAAATAATAGGAAAAAATAAACAGGATATTTTATGGATCTTTTGTTTTAATACTAGGAGGATTAGATCTTTCAAACCTCTTTGTACTTCCTGTTAAGGAAACAAATTTATCGGGTGCACAGTTGATTGAGGAAATTAAGTCCATACCTACTACCAGTAAGGAAGTCCATATCAAAAAGGAGCAGGCATTGGAAGAAGTACTGATTTGGCGGTCTCCTTGCACCCAACAGAATACCAAGGAGAATTGCAGATATAAACAACCACTTGAACCAAAAATCTAAATAAAAGAATCACTTCCTTCACGTCACTGATTTCATTCTACAATTATCCTGTTTTTTCCTATCCCATTGTTGTTGCTGATGTAATGCCCGTGAGTCCATGATGTCACTCTCTTTTTCATTTTTCTTCTCTTTTTTATAAAGCCCGCATTTGCACTTGAATTTTTGAAATCCAGAATTGACCCTTCGAAATATACAGATCAATCCTCCAATAGTATAAAATGGTATAGCATATAGATGGTCTACTAGTTTTCTTCTCTTTTGCTATGAATACTAAGCTATGAGACCTCTACTATGTTTTTCATTGCCTTTTTTCCTTGGTCGTGTGCTCTATTTGTGTCCATCAGCAGAAAATCTTAAGGATAGTGAACTTTGGGATTCCTTGAATCCAACAGAAAATTTGGCCCATCAATATGAATAGAAATGTGTAGAGCTTAAGAATTGGAAACTCTCCCCACCCTTTGAAAAAATATACAGAGATTATTATTTAAATTTTGGTGGAATTACATTACACTCATGTTTGGTTTATTCAAGTCAAAAGAATATCAGCAAATAGAGAACCCTTCTTTTTGGATGGCTTTAATCCATATAAAATACTGCTATGAGAGGTGAACTTTCAGGCGGCATGCATTTACATCAGCTATTTAGCAAACAAAAAAGGGAAGCGCAATAACAATTACGCAAAATATACACTGCAAGATGCTTATAAATGAATTTCCAGAAGACACATCCTTGCAGAACTCCTAGACGGAAAATCAGTTTTGCATTTTGTTATCCTAAGCGAAATAGTGAGTTGAGGTATTGTTTCACACACATTGTCCCCAAAAAACATGGCAGAAAGTTTCAATCAAAATCTGAAATACACACCCCATATATATCAAGCTCATACAACAAAACAATTTAGACAAACATTCTAGAGCCTAGATTAGTTTAAAGATCACCAATAATCAGACAATTTTGAAGGGGAATCAAGAAATGGTGATTTTGCTGCTATACGGGTTTATTTCTCGGACAAAATGAGTACTACAAAACCAGGGAAGATGCTGAGGTTGAATGAACATTATCTTTGCTTAAAATCAACAATAATCTGCCGGTATTTGGTTGGCCGCACTGAACTTGGTGAACTCCGACAGAGAGAGGGTGAAAAGGGAGAGAAATGAGCCAAAAGAGGGGTGGGAAATTATTTTTTTCCAGGGAATAGCCAAAAAGGGTTCAATATTTCGTTTATTTGAAATTCCAATTAAGTTGGTTTATATGGTGAGCAAGCGAGAAATTATCAGGAAAAATATCTAGCGAGAAATAATTTTAGTTTTGTTACAAGCATGTTCAATGTATCAAAATTTGTCTTTTGGGGTTTATTTTGAAAGGTGAAATCACCAATAAAGCTCATGCAGTCATGCTTACCCCAACAAAATAAAGCAAAGCATCAACTGGCCATTTCAGCTTTTCTTTAATAGGTATACTCGCATCATTAACAGGCAAAGAATAACCCAAATTGCTGATTAGCATGGTTCAACCCAGTTTGACATTTTCAGTAAAAAGTTTGGCAAACTGTAGCCAAGTCCAAAGCATTGCACAAAGAAAAACCAGAGTCAGCAACTCCTTATCCATCACAGAACCAAATCTACCATTTTTAACCATGAATCCCTGCCACAATGATGGAGACATGATTTCTGGCAAGGGGTTTCAAAAAAAAAACAAAGTGAACTTGTGAAGAACACTAAACATAATTTTACTATTGAAAACAAAACTCAAATACACTATTACGATGGTACTGGATGAGTTCTCATTTCTTGAGATTTTTTCATAATAACACCATCAGAAATTGTATTAAACACATCTCTTTCTACATAAGGCAAAATGCAATTGTAAAAACATTAAGCATTCATTTGACTCCGCAAGTCATTCATGATAAACTTCATTTTCAGACTGAATTATAAAAAAAGAAAACAGTTAAAAAAAATTGGAACTGTTAACTATTAAGTTGTAATAAGGAAAACAAGAAAAAGTAACCAACCAGATAGATGCATACAATTAGAACAACGAATCTGCTTGGTAGAATCTCAATAACAACACAAGCTAAACATCCTCAAATTCTCTAAGGGTCGTTTGGTTTGCGAACTAAATTATCCCGGGATTCCTTAGACTAATATATCCCACGTGAGAGGTGGGATAAAATAACACCTAGTTAAATGGGATAAATTGAGATATCCTGGATGAAAATACTTAGTAATTTGGTTGAAGGTATAAATTTATCCTGATTTATCCGGTTATCCCGGGAGAAATTTATAACTTGAACGAAACAAAGTATAGATTTATACCAAAACTTAATCATAGATACTCCATATTATCCAATAGAACATTACATTAAATTGTTGAAGTGTGTGACCATGATCCATTGTCTGTACAGCTATTTACGCAGACATTTCTGGAACAACACTACCAGGGCAAATAGTCGAGCAATTGTTAGAGAGAGAACACACCTTTATTTACTTAATTGTACTCTCAACAAAAAACCAAACCAGAGCAATCATAGATTATTAAAACAAAAGGATTAATAGTACTCTCGAAGAAAAATAGAGAGAGGGCGGAACTTACCGTAGTAGCCGTGAGTAGAGTTAACGGCAACAGGCGACCAGCGACCGGCGATGAGAGCAGTGAACTCAAGAACTTACTGTCTTCGGTACTAGGGCTTTAATCCTAATTCCCAATTCTCAATCAGGGCATCAGGTTTTCTTAAAATAAATAAATACAGTATTGCGCCAAAATTTTGAGCAATTAATCTTATATACATAGGTGTAGTTCCAAATATTCAATAAAAAATTAGTGTAGTGTGCGTGTGTGTCAGTGTGACTTAATATTTCTTGTCAAAGTTATACTCCTCTCTGTCCCTATTAGTTATCCACTTTGACACACGTATTAAGCCATCAATTATTATTATAGGTTAGTTACAATATTACTCTTAACTTAAAACGGCATGCAATTTTCTAAACATACTAAGGCATCAATTATTATTATAGGTTAGTTACAATATTACTCTTAACTTAAAACGTCATGCAATTTTCTAAGTATAATAAATATATTTTTTGGTTCCAAAAAATATGCATTACAACTTATTAGTACTAGAATTAAATAAAGGCATATTAGGAAAAAAAAATTATTGTCCTTTCTTGATTTGTTAAAATGAACAAGTAAATAGAAACAGATATAAAAAAAATATGGACAAGTAAACAGGGACATAGGGAGTATTTTAGAAGTAACTATCTTTAAAATAATGCAAAATCTTTTTACAACAAATAAACGTTCGATTGTTTTCGACTCAAATATAGCAAAAATAAGTAATAAAAAATGTGAAAGAAAATAAGAACAACAAAATAATGTGATAATCAAAACATAATAAACAATTACAAATATAAAAAATCAAAAATAAAAACTATAATAATACGACTAGCGCAAAGCAAAGCAGTGCATAATATATGTAAGGAGTTGTAATAACAACTGCAAGGTGTAGTCACCTAACAACATGAATTTGTGATATCATATATCAAAAGGCAAAGAATATTACACATTGTTCTATACTACCACCAAGCCAAATATATATGAATATAGAATAGTAAATAGGTATTAGACAATTATTAACTATCTACTACCCTTTATACTAATTTGAGATTTTCATAACATCTTATCTAAAGCTATTTCTCGATAAGTAGAAAATGTGTCATATCCTATTTATTCACTTCTCTTATACCGCTCCTTGAACCCACTGTATCCATCCTTTCAGTATGTCTACTACAAAGGTCACTTCTACTTTGTCTTATATACTCATTCATAATTACATTGCTTATAATATGTCTACACACAATCATAACATCCTTATTTATATAACTTGTGTCTTTGGTACTAGAAAGTTTTTGATTAACTGACATTTTATTCCATATAACAAAATCAATTTAATCACCACTCTATAAAACTTACATTTAACTTTTAACAGTACCTTTTTGTCACACATAAATCTGCATGCGAACCTCCACTTCATCCTATTATTTAATTAATTTTGAAGTCCTACATATTAGAATAATAATTAATTTATAATTAAGAAAAATAGTAAACGGCGATGTGTCTATTGTAAAACTTTTTAAATTTAATGAAAGGAAAAAAATTCAATCAACATTTTCAAAGGGACTTCATGCTGTTGATGTAGCGTAGATACATGAAACATAAACGAAGATTTCAATTTTTTTTATTTTTTTGGTTTAGCAGGTTAACACAAAAAGAAAAACATGTTAGACAATAAAAATATATATACATTATTTAATATATAGAGTAGTCAAAAAGATTCGGTCCAACCCCATCCGGCCCGAGCCTCACAAATCAAGAATTTTATGGATTAGGACAGGCCGATGCTTCATTTTGAAGGACCTGAAAATGCTCAACCCTAGAAGGATTGCGAGTTGAGGTAGGCTAGCCTTTTTTTTCTTTTCATTTAAAATTTTATTATATCAAGAAAATGAAAAAAAAATCAAATCAAATATGGCTAAAGTAATGTTGTTTCAATAATACTAGCAAAAGTTATAGTGTGATCAACATGTATCTATGATACTAATTACACGAGATACATGTATTTGGTGTGATACATCCTAGATATGCGAGTGAGATACAAGATGGGAGAAAGGCGAGGGCGCGAGATTTGTCTATGTATCCTAGATACATGTGAATTCACTTGAATAGAGTCTATCTAGAACAAAGTACATCTAATTTTAGGTCAATATATTCCAAAATATATGTATCTAGCGCACTAAAATCTAATAAGATTCATAAATAGTTTTGACTCATGGACTGACCCCAAACCAACTCCGATGACACGTCGTCGAGGGCCAAGGGCTTTTATGCATCAGGCCTATAAGCCCTAGTTTTTCAAGGGTTTGAAAATCATATTCCAACCCTACCCCAATAACGGGTTGGATTGGGCCAACCTCATGAGCTAAATCCATTTTGACAGCTCCAATGATACATATACACTACTTTTTCGATGAAGGAAAATTAATCACTATATTTTTCCATTTTCCCTATGATATATTTGATGCTCGCCAAAAATAATTACACACATTTTTCAACTATTAATTTAGTAGACGGCTATTTAGTGTAAAAATCTCATAATGTAACTAACGATTAACGGGGGAAAAAAGTGGAATTTTGCTGTTGAATACTTATTTTTACTTGAATAGAGATGAACTAGTTGAATGTGAATGGAGCTTGACTGCCTATCACTTTTTTTTTCAACTAAAATAAACAATTTCCTTCTCTAAATGTCTGGCTTTTCAGAATTTGAAATTACAAATGCATAATTGATAGTATTATCAAAATGGCTGTATTGTGTCATACAGGTTTACTTCGAACCTGAAACACATCAAAATTTTCACTGCGATGCTTCGAGGCTCGAGCGCGTTTTTCTCAGAATTGTTCCTAAGATGGTACAGCCTAGGGGATATTATATCATGAACGTTATGGAAATAGACGTCTTGGATCCAAATCTGAATGTTAACATTAACATCAATGGGGACAAAATGTTGATAATTTATTGATGTTAGGAAAAAATAATACAGAAGAAAACCAGAGAGACGAAAAGGGGATTCTGCCAATGAAAGCCTACACCACAATCAGCTACTAATAAACAAAAAATCATAAAGGAAATGCAACCTTATCATTTCTTCTTTCCATCTATGTTTGAGATCTATTCATATGTTGAGGCTTGAGAGGTTTCTTCCCTATTTGATTACTGCAGAATCCAAATGTGAGACCAGACCCAAACTTCACAGCAGCATTTAGCCCCATCTGAGTATTGCAGAGCCCCACGTAAGGCCAGCACCAAATCCAGCAGCAGCAATGACATGACCTGCCTGCACTTTCCCACTTCGAACAGCTTCATCCAGTGCCAAGGGTATCGATGCAGCACTCGTATTGCCATAATTTGCCAAATTTGATATGACATGTTCTGGTGGCACCTCCAAACGTGTTGCTACTGCATCAAGAATCCTTTGATTTGCCTGCATGTAGCCATTCATGATAAGTTACTTCAGAGAAGTTGATGTAGGATGATAACTCGAAAGAAGCACTAAGAAACTTTTCGCGAATTATCTCCAGTTGTATTTGCCAATAAATAGTAAGAAAATCTTCAAAACATGAACGTCAAACTCAAAAATGCTCACAGATTTACTCATGTTATCTTGAACACGAAATGAGTTTCCACATCAATAAAGCAATTGGATAAAGTGAATATCGTCTATCATAAAGATGAATCAAGGGTCAAGCTAGTAAAGCCGGGAATATAATTTATCATATTGTGCTTTTACAAACACATGACAAATTGCAGCTTGCTCTTTCTTTCTTACTTTTTGTTTTGACTTTTTTATATATATACTCTTTACTTCTTTTTTATAAATATATTTTGCTACTTTTGACCTATTTTTCTTCCTTAATATAAGTACTTATTTTGTGCTTACACCGATCATTTTTTCTCCCCCTATACCTTTATTTTTCTCTTTGTCATTTTTCCTTCTCTTCATGATTTATTCTCCTGCGATTCTTCATTAATAAGATCTCTTGTGTTTCTTCGTCCCCATAACATGCAAGTCATGGAAAATTTTGGCGACTATTCTAATTCCTTTTTCTGAACTCTTTGTTGGTTTCTTTTATTTCAAACAGGAAACTGCCAGAAAATGTTTACCAGATACAAACGACAAGGATGAACATTGTGTTTTGTGTATAAAAGATTAAGGGAGTATTCATTATGGAGGAAAACATTCTGTCCAATTTTCTCATGTTTTGAAAATTATTTCCTAGGAAAACAAGTTCCCTCAAAAATGAGGAAAGTGACTTCCCTAACGGAAGTAGGGAAAACAAGTTCCACAAGTGGCATTCCACATTGATTGTGCCCTCTCCACGACTCTACCCCATCCAATACACCTCATCTTCACCCCATACCTAGCCCACCTCCCATTGTATTTGTCTTAGATTATATCCAACTGCTTTTTGGATAATATTTTCACTTACATATCGAACACAAGAAAACATTGCCCTTGTTAGAACACAAGAAAATAGGAATATTTTTCGCTTACCCATTATTTGTCTGGAAAACATTTTTCCAAAAAAATAAAAGATTCATGGAAAACATTTTCCTTCACACCAAACACACCCTAAAAGGAAAACACATATATTTCACACTTCATTTTGTGATGCATGTAAAATTATGGGGTTCATTTTGGTCCCCAAATAATGTATCTCACCTGAAAAAAATGAGGCAGCAAAGAGTTTTAACCCAAGTAACTACAGCAACTTGAAAATGAGAATATATCCTTAACTTTTATCTATACTTTGTTCCAACTCGGATACAAAAGAAAACATGGGGAAAGGCGTAGGACAGCTAGGCTTTTGTTATCTTGCTCTGGCAGCATCATAATTAGTTCAAACTTTTGTGGTTGGTATACTTGTTCTTTTGTCATGCATTTCTCAGGCAATTATCACACATTCACTAGGCTTAGTAAAATAACTTTAATCCCAATCTCATATGATTTGTTTGATAGGATATAGAGTAAAAGTTGAGTTGAATTTGTAGAGTAATATAAGTAAAGGTCTATGCCTTAGGCACATAAACAGTTCCTCGTTCAACTTTCGGAAGTTCCCCATGTTAACAATGCCCCTGGGCGCCTACAAATATGATCTGGCCTTTCCCCAACCAAATATCAGTTTTGAGAAAAACATATAAAAT